ATATATAAAGTATATTAATTCCTATGGCATTTTTAATAATCAGAAGATCTAGTTCAAAGATGAAGTAATGCAAACCAGGCCCAGGGTGAGGAGTGTTATCAATAATGAGAAAGTTGGACAATCAAGGATCAATAGGATTTGGGGGTGGGCCATTGAGAATAGAGAAATAATAGCTACTTTAACCCCCCACATTGTACAGATTTTTAATCTTTATCATTTTCAATATATACCTATTTATATAAGCATGTACATTTGGTCTCTATCTTACTTTACTTATATTTTAACTAAAATTATATTATCGATACCAAGGATGAGAGATTAATATAGCACCACCCAAGAGCCTTTTAGGACAGTTGATTAATAAGGCAGCCCTGATCTCATGGTTTTATAGCCAGGCTTTTATGCAACAAACAAAATATTATTACTTTACATCATGATCAAGCTCTGGAAATAAAAACACGAGGCTTTTTAAAAGGTACCATTAGAATACATAAGCATAAAAATTTAAGAATTAAAGATGAAATATCAGAAAACCTTTTTTTTTGACTGTGTAACACACAATATAGGCATTGTATTTTTATCGCTCTTCAAGTTATCCACTATGCCATGCTGGCAGGGATTTGGGGCAGATAGATGGGAGTGAAAAGATAGAAGGAGGAAGGAAGTACTGACAGGATAAGCTAAGTGTTTGCCTGCTGGGAGTCGACCTGAGAATTACTCATGACATTTCTAGGAGCTCCTGATCTCTAGAGATAATGTTCTATATGTAAGAGATAAAGCAGCCATTAATAAATACATATGTCTCCCCCAGAAGTTCAGAGTCTAGCGGCTATGACAGGTCACTAAAGTGAAATTGACAATACACACGAGAGTTCCATAAGCAATCTATGCACGTAAGTTTCAGGATGAATGTAGAGGGGAACGGAAGAGAAGTTCCTGGGTTGGTATTGGGCTACAAGGGTGAGGCACAGAGTCATTGTGAGGACCGACCCTGAGTCACTCAAGAGGAAGTGACAGGCAAACTTTCTTCCCCCTTTCCCAGTCCTCCCCTCCCCTTTGGACTTTTCTTGTTTTCACGTTGTCAAGTTGTTTGGTGTTTTATTTGCTTATAGGAAGAAATGTGAAAGCAGAGGTTATAGGAATACGACAGGTTCATCTTTTGAGTTCTAAAGGTCAGGTGTGCAGTGGAAGAACACATCTGAATGTGTGGATGCCAGGTAAAGTGAAATAGGAAATAAACACGAGTAGAGAATTGTATTCACAAAGCCAGAGAAAGAGTCCATGGACTTAGGGGATGGAGACCTATTAGCTGGGATGACTTGAAAGTACAAGTACAGGTAATGCCGAGACACTGTCTTTCATGGCTGAGCCCTGGAGAAGCAGGAGATCTTCAGCAGAGGGACCTTGACCCTTGGTAGAACCATGAGGAAAAGTGGCTGGTGCTGTAGGGATGGAGTCTTGTCATGGTGTTTCCTAGATTTCCACCTGAGGTATAGAAGTCAGCAGTGAGAACATATTGTGGTATATCAGAGTGTATTGGAAAAAGTCCAGAGAAGGGGAGGGAAGGAAGAAGTAGTCACCATGAGAAACAGAGTCGCTTGTATGAATAGAAAGAAGGAACAAGTTGGTAGCAACAGTCATGGGGGAACTTCTGAGGATACAGGATGTAATGGACATTTTAGCGAATGGCAGTTTGAATGGATAGCATCAAGGCAACCGGGACTCTGACGTTTTATATTGATAAGGTCCCTTCAAAATCTAGATGAAATAAATCCCCAAGCAAGGGGAGGCCTGAGGTTGAGTCAACCAGAAAGGGGCTGAGATCAAGTTTCTGCCAGTTAGGCAGGATGGGAATTAGACCAAAAGCTTAGTATGGGCTAGAGAGAAATAAAACTACATTTCTCGTTCCTTTGATTGGTAGACACAGATCCATTCTGACTGCAATGGTGGTACTTTCTAATAGCAAATAGGGAAAAGAAGGACAGAGCCTAGGCAAGTGCTATTTCATGGACTTGAGAGAGTTTGGGATGGTGCCTGGAAAAAATACCACAGTAGCAGGATGGATGTGTGTGGGTGCTTAGCAGGAAATAAAGTTTGACAGAGCCTGGCAAAAGTTGGGCCAGGGAGGGTGTCATATTCCATACAGAGGAATGATCAATTTCTTCCAAAAAGAAAAGTGGAAATACTGAGGAATTTAAAAAGAAAGGCATTCAAATGTATTTTAGAATACTGCTCCTTGAGATGTCTGGGGATGGACTGGAGAAGGATAGAACCTGAGGCAGGAGACTCAGCATGAAATTAATTAAGAGAAATGGGGCCGCACGGTGGGGGCACACACCTTTAATTCCAGCACTTGGGAGGCAGAGCCAGGCGGATCTCTGTGAGTTCGAGGCGAGCATGGGTTATAGAGTGAATTCCAGAAAAGGCACAAAGCTACACAGAGAAACTGTCTCGAGAAACCAAAAAAAAAAGAAAGAGAGAGAGAGAGAGAGAGAGAGAGAGAGAGAGAGAGAGAGAGAGAGAGAGAGAGAGAAATGGAAAATCCTGAGTCCTCAGTGGTAATGGGTTTGGAAAGAAGGGCTCCTGAGAAAGGTGACAGATCTTCACAATGCTTGGGTACATCATGAGAGGGGAAGAAGTTGGGGATGTTACCAGGTGCCTAGGTTCAGAATACACAAAGAGAAATGACTTGATGAAGGTTTTGAGTTTTGTTTTTGAGCATCTTCTTTTGTGTTTAAGTAGCATCCCAGGAGAAGGGCATGTGTCAAGATCTCTATAAGAACAAAAGGCGGCGTGAGAAATGGTTGTAGTTATATAACACAGGAAACAGAGTGGTAGACACAGAATGAAACTCTGAGGCAGGCTTGGATAAAGGCATGAATGGAAGGCAAAAGCAGTCACTAAGAGTCAGTTCAAACAATGTCTAGTAGACCAGAGGAGAGATGCTAAGAAATGGGCAGTCCTTAGTGGTAGATAGGAAGAAAAATGAAGCATGTGTTTTCTATTGGGTCATTGGACCATTGAGCATCAACTGATCAGAAGAACATGAAAGACAAAGAGGAGAGAGGTTGGAAACTGATGAGGCAGGGAGCATACTTTGTTCCTTTAGGACAAAGAAGGAAAGATAAGAGTTAGAGAAGCAATGACCTAAGGGAAGGGAAGATCTCTGATATAAAAGAAAACTAACTTTTAAGGTAAATGGATAGTTAATGGGGAAGGAGTTTAGCTGAAAAGAGAAGAAAAATTGATGAAGTTATTAAGTTAGGAAGGACTTGGAGAGTCTTGGAGAGAACAGACTTCTCTTGCTTTGAGAGGGGAAGGCATTGGGAGTAAGGGGTGCAGGGGCAGTTGCAATTACAGATCAGGGGACATGGAAGCCATTTAATACTGATTAGGCCCTAGTTTTTTTTTTTTTGCTGGCTTTTAAAATAGCATTTCCACATGGATCACAAAGATGAGTAAGATACCACTGGAGTATCTGCCCTTCTCAAACCAACACTTCAATGAAATGAATATGTGGACCTTTACCCTCATGCTCCTGGAGATTCAAACATGCTAAGGAGATGGTCTACAAGGACAGGATGCTGCCACAATAGCTCTTCTCATGGACAAGGTTGCACTGACCTTGCTTAGAATTAGCAGTGCATGGTAATAATTAAAATTAGCCTGATATTTTAAAAACTGTTTATTACTATCTTTAAATCATTTTTTAGTGTACCTTCGCCTCCTTGTCTATAACCCAGCAGACCCTTCCTGCTACTCTGCCCTTGGTGTTCAGATCTCTGCCTCAAGGCTTCCCTTTGAGGCCACTGTAAGTGCCTGAGATGGGAAAGAAGTTCCCATCTAGCTCATCCTTTCCTAGTTCAGAAGGAAGTGAAGATCAAATGAAGGACAGATCTGTGGGTCTGGATTCCAGTTCTCCGGACCCCAAGTTACCCTCAAGAGGAAAGGTCTGTCTCACCTTCATTTCTAGACCAAATCTGAGAATGCCATTTAGCCATACCCAAGTGCAACAATGTCACTGTTTGGGGGAGGAGATAGGAGGAATGATTTGACTTTGCTCTCTTTCCTCTCTAGAATGGCATTGACTGTTTGCCAAGGTCCTTTATGGTTAACCACAACAAATGTCTTTCTTGTAATATTATTCACTGGGAACACATTCAAAGAATTTCAGATTCCCTCCTCCTCCTTCTCCTCCTCCTCCTCCTCCTTCTTCTTCTGAGACAGACTTTCATACTGTAGTTCAAGTTGCCCTGGAATTCACTATATATCTCAGCGTGGCCTCAAACTTATGGGAATCCTTCTGTCTCAGCCTCTATGTCCAATTCCATACACCACTGGGAAATAACAGAATTATTCAAGAACACTGTGAAAAGAGTTTAATATTTGGGGGAAGAAAAATTTTAACTCTTCATTATGTACAGTGTATATTCTAGTTTTCTTCCATGGGACTTGGTTTGAATGGAAGCATAGAATATGAATAAATATATCCCAAAGACAGATAAGGATAGCAAAAATACGGATATCAATATGTAATTTTTGTGGTTAAAGGAAGCAGAAAGGAAACTTTAGACAAATTAAGGAGTGGTACAGACTCCTTCTGCATGACTCCAAACAACATGGGCATCTGTAGGAAACACTCTTAGGTTTATTACCAACCTCTTTATACCATGTTTGATGATAATTAAATAATATAACTCTTTTATTAGTGACCCTTGATAAGTACTTAATAAATGGTGGTAGGAACCATCCCCTAGTTGAAGATGGACTTTGTTTGGGTCTACACAAGCTTCAAAGAAGCAGATGTACCTTAAAGGTTTTCCCAAGCACAGAGACGCCAGTGGGTAACATGAAACCTACTTCCTGGTGTCCATTTGGTCATTCTGGTCTACCTCATGGTCAGTCGTTTCCAGTTTCACCCTTTGTAGCTGAAGAAGACTTTTCAGAACAAAACAAAACAAAAACCAGCATGTAGGAGAGCTCTCAATCAAAGCTCTTACCTCTCCTGAAGTCCTATGGGTTTCATTTTGAAGGGAGAGGGGCAGACAGAGGTGGAGGTGGTGCTTCTAGTCTCAGGAGTGCATTGGCCTTGGGGGTCCACGACAACATTCAGCACCTTTGGCGCCTGCTCAGGCTGGACCATGCTGTGGGCTGTCTTGGCCTCCGAATGTGCTGGCTGTAACGTAATGGGCGATAGGTGGATCTCCTGGTTTTTCTCTTTATCTTGTCTTAAGGAAAGCTGAAACCTTTCTTTTAACCTATAAATAATCTACAAAAAAAAAGATATAAGAGCTTCTATGAGATTTTGTGTCCTGGGCAATGAACAGAAAGAACACCATCTCCCCGACTTAGAGGACAGCAAAGTAAACATTAGTGATAGAGTAAGCCTACCCTCTGATATAATTTCTTGTTTTTTGTGATATTGAGATTTTTCCTTTAAGAATATGCTTGTTACATAAATAATATCTGTATAACGTCAAGTGAACAAGATTGATCCTCACCCCAGCAGGAAGCATTAATTGGATTCAGTGCAGGAGTAGGGCAGAGGTAGGGGTGTGTGGGGTGTGGATGGCGTGGAAGGCAGGGAGTAGGGGGTAGGGGTGGAGGTGCAGAGACGGACTGCCTCTGACTGGTATTTCCAGTTAGGCTGTACATACACCTTGAGTGTTTCTGTACATTCATATATTTCTCAAGGATATATTCAAAAGGAAGTTTGGCAATAAGTCTACAAAGATGCCAGATGATATTTGATCACAGGAGTTTCTTGAAATGGGAGGCATTTGAAAGGAAGAGCTAAGAAACATGGGCCAATGATCTTTATGGAGACAGATAACTGTATCTGTTTATAACAGGGAAGCAAGGCTCACACAATATTAATAAAATAGTAGTTATTCTATAAACGATCCATTATTATCTTGGTAAACATGTCATTAGTCATTCATCAGCTTGAGGATCTGTTAAATACTTGACCAAACATGGACTGCATAGAATTTTCATATTTTTCCCCTTTAAATATTTAATATATATATAAAGATAAAAGTAACTTTCTGTGTTTTATGTGTGCTGGTGTTTTGCCTGAATGTGTGTCTGTGTACCACGTGCATGGCTGGTGCCTGAGGAGGCCAGAAAAGTGTGCTGGATCCCCTGGAATAGGAGTTACAGATGGTTGTGAACCATCATGTGGGTGCTGAGAATTAAACCCAGGTCTCCTGGAAGGGCAGCTCGTGCTTTTAACCACTGAGCCATCTCTCCAACACAAGACTTTCAAGCTTTTAAAAGCATGAGATGGAATTATGGTGGGGCACCGATTAGCTTACATCATGTTTCTATATGGTATCTTCAGATTGGTTGACCCCTCCCATCTTTCCTTGCTGTGTCCCTGTGTCCCCAGGAATCTCCCTCCAACTTTTTTCGATTGCATTTCCCACCTTTAGTTCTACAGCTGTCCCCTTCCAGAACCATGAGCATCTCTTTATTGTTTCTTTCTTGTCACCCACATTTGCTTGATGCTGGCTCCTCGGTTCCTACAAAAACTCGAAGTCCTAGTGTTTTATCAGGTGTGTCCTCAGGATGTGACTTGGTGAGCTAATTCGCGTGCAGGGAGAGGGGACAAGTCATTATCCGCAATTATGAAAGTGAACAGCACCCAGGGGGTCTGCCTCCAGGATGCCTCAAGACAGCGGACTCTCAGGTTTAATTTCTGAGATCCATCAGCTAGCTGAGCAGACATGAGTTTGGGAGGAAGGAAGATTTCCTGCTCCTTTCTAATAAGATCCTCCCGAGCTAGTCATGAAATGCATTCTGTCTTTCCTGTCTTTTCAAAATTCTTTTAAATTCCAGTTATTTCTATATTTTAAATCTCCCGGATAATCTAAGCTTTCTATATATGTGCATATATGTGTGCACATGGGCACACACATACATGAATTCATCTAAAATTATGAAATAAACACATTTTGAAAATTTATTTTAGAACATTAAAAATATTTTCCAGGTATTCCCCAGAATAATATTGAGGAAGAGCCTGTTCAGCAAAATATGTCTACAAAAATGGATCATAGTTGGGCAGTGCTGGCACACGCCTTTAATCCCAGCACTTGGGAGGCAGAGCCAGGGGGATCTCTGTGAGTTCGAGGCCAGCCTGGTCTACAGAGCAAGATCCAGGACATGCACCAAAACTACACAGAGAAACCCTGTCTCGAAAAACAAAACAAAACAAAACAAAAGAAATGGATCAGAATTAAATTAAAACACACCAATTTAAAATGAACTATTAGAGTGAGATCAATCTCCTTGAATATGATCATATCTCCTTGTATATATGTATGAAATTAAAAAAATAAATTTAAAAAGAGAAACAAAATGTCCTTCCAATTGAATGAACTGAGTACTTATTGGCAAGCTGTGAATCTTCTTTGCAAGCACTTAAGAACAGAATTGAAAGTACAGAAAGAATCACCAGTGGTGCATACAAATACATTAGAGGCTGCTTGGGATGCTGAACAAAAGAATGAGACAGAACTGGAAGGAGAGATGATGGCTCAGTGGTTAAGAGTATTTGCTGCTCTTGCAGAGGACCTGGGTTTAATTCCCAGCACCAATATGATGGCTTACAACTGTCTACAACTCCAGTTCCATGGGATCTGTCGACCTCTTCTGGTCTCAGCAGGCTCCTGCATGCATGCGGTACACATACACTTAATGTAGGCACATATATGCATAAAAATAATAGGTGAATCTTTAAAGAATTAGACACAAATGAAAACAAGAGAAAGGCTTCAAAACCATCTGTTTTAAGGATATGTTACAGATTGGGAGGTGATCTCCTTAAGAAAAAATTATGTACCTATCAGGTATAACTAGATGTGTACATCATACACAGAGCTAATGGGAAATTAAAGCAAATCTGTTCTGTTTTTTTTAATGCTCATTTTCTCATAATCTGGAAACTATATTGTGGAGGAATTCATCATCTCCATCAAGGAAGAAAAATCTTAGATTTTTTTTCAAAACAATGATATGTGATCTCATCACTTGGAAGGCTGAGGTTGTAGCATCCAAGGTTGATGTGGGTCACACATCAAGAACCTGTCTCAAAATCCAAACAAACAAACAAGCACACTCACTTCAGTGGAGTTAGACTATTTCCCTGACCAACATTACCGCACAAGGCAAGAACAGATGCCAGTTATTACAGCTGAGCTTCTTCCACGTACAATGTTTACTTTCAGAGAACTGTACTGTGCTTTCCTGAACCTGCAGGAAAGAGGATGCTGAAGGGGGGTGTCTTCACCCTGTGTGTAGTGCCCTAATATTGTCGGCTTTCTGTTTATTTGCAGCTCTCATGGATTTGCCCCCGTTCTGAGGAAACACACACACAGTAGGGCAGCACCAACCAGATGGCACATATATGGGAGGCTTATTGTGTCAAGTTAAACCCAGAACTACCAAAATACAAATTAATACAATCTAAAGTGGGATGGCACCTTTTAAGTTGCAAACAAGGCATTTTTCTGACTGAAGAAATAAATAATCCTAGCAACATAGATTATTTATTTATAGAAGGAGCAATGCATATGTCTTATAATTTAAGCTCTTCACATATGAATGTAATATACAATTATATTACTTGCCTATATTTTCTTTTTTGGAGACATTCTACTGCGAGAACCAAGGGCCAGGATAGAGTTGCTCTCAATTATTCTTGACAGGTCAGTTTATGATTACATTAGTGTAAACCAGATGGGGTCTAAAGTCCTTCTCTGTTGCATAGAGTTCAGTGGGGAGCCTCTGCCACATATTTTATAATGAGTAATCTATTTCACCTCTGGCTTTTAACCTACCTCTGTGTAGTTTGCTTGCAAACTGATTTCTACAATGCGAATTCAGAAAAATCAGAATCTGGAAAACGCTTAATGTAAATACGACACTTAAAAATACTGGGCTGATTGATAAAACTTGTGGAAAAAAGATGAAGCTGCTACCTGGAAATAAGCCATTGACATGGATTTTAGCTGTAAAGCACTGGTTTTCAAATGCCTAGTAGGAATTTTGTCCCTCAGAGGATATTTGACAATGTCTAGAGAAACTTTCAGGGTGGGGGATCATGGAGCTGGTGCCAGGAGTATGAAGTGGCCATAGACTAGGTTGTGGGTAAATATTCTGAAGTACACAGGAGAGACTACCCTCCTCACCCCCAACAGAAGAGCCAGCCCTTGATTCTAGTAGTGATACCATTGAGCAGCCCTAGAGTAAAGAATCGAAGACTCATCTGGTATAACCTCTTTGTTTCTCAGTGAGGCTGAAAAGGGTCACATACTTATAGAATACTGCTTATAAAGGCTAGAATTCAGGTCTCCTGAATCCCAGGCCTGTGAGCATTCAACGATGGCTTCTTTCAAATCCATACATTCTCCTTCCTGACCTCTTTGCCAAAGCTTCTGGAAGTGTGTGTCAGAGACTTCTCTGTACAGATTGGATCCTTCAATACAATATTTGCATTTTTTTCCTATGAGAATTCACTTTGTTTTTAAAAATCTCATTCTTAAAGCCTAGCAGAGCCATGACAAGTTAAAACTTTCCCTTCATTTTTCTTTTTAGAGCTTGTGTTGGGGCTTTGGGATGCATTAAAATAATTTGATCATTTGAGGAAGGAAAAGAGAAAGGAATATTGAATAAGAGGAGCTATAAAAGCTGAATTATAGTATGGGGAATATGAAATGGCAGCAGTGAGACCTGAGGAAGGCAGAAAGGAGAGGAAGCTAAGCAGAGCCCTTTGAAACAGTTTTCAGGGTAATTTTCATTTTTAAAATCTCACAAGTAACAGAAAACATTGTGTTTGGATTGAGGTGTGTTCTAATTTTAAAATGATGGCCCCAACAGACAGTGCTCTGTGTGGTATTTTATAGGAAGTTATGAACGAGTTTATTCTTTTAATGTCATTAACATTCCCAATCCATCCTGAAAATGAAGTCTGTGTCGATGCAGACGTGGCACAAGACTGACTATGTTCCTAGGAATGCAGAGGTTTCCAGGAGACAGATGTATAAAATCAGGTCCAGTACAAGGTACTAAGTGCAAATGGGTGTGTCCTTAGCACATAGGTATGGAGTAGCAAACACTTATCAGTCTTGCCTGGGTGGAGTCCGTCTAATAAACACAGGCATACTCATGTGTTCCTAGACCTATTTGTGTCCAGAAATAGAAGTTCACAGAATGAGTGATAGGAATGAGGGAAACCGCGGTTGACTCCTTCATGGAATCAAGCAGAGCCATGGTCATGAGCTTAGACTTTCATCCCAGATGGACTTGACTCTGGATTCCAATCCTTCCTACCCTTCCAATCCTCCCACGCATACCCACCCATTGTTTGCTGTGAGTCAAGCCACTTTATCTTTTCTGGATCCTGGTTTGCTCATCAGTCAAGTCAGGCACTTAAACATTACTTTGCGTCCTGTAGTAAATTTAGGACCAGTATGTATGCAATATGTAGAAGAAATGAATTACTATTGCTGAATGCTACTATTATTTTACTACTGTGAGTAAGCGGGGGATGGGGGAGGTGGTGGTGGTGGTGGTAGATTACTTAATTCATGAGCTACAGGCTTGCTTTGGAGATGATGTCGGAATCAACCGTGTCTGGCTGTAGCTCCATCATCCCTAGAGATTATATATAACAGGTTAGAAAAACGTAGCTGCTTATGTCCACTTTTGACATGAAATGAGTGCATGATGTCCAGAGCTTGATGGTCCAATATACTATTTCCTGGCTCAGTGACCAGACCGTGACTAGAGAATCCTTTTACTTCACACCTGGATGACTCTTCTGTGGATCCACCACGCCAGCACTTTTCCTGATACAGCTGTCTGTGATTTCTAATATCTGGCCTCTAGACATCTCTATGTATATTTCATGAATATATTTACACTTTTTAATAAGCCTGTAAGTATATTTGAAGGTCTAATTTGGATGATAGATAGCGTTCTTTCTGTTATGTACTCAAGTTTAAGAACTAATTCTTCTCGGTAATACATTTCCTCCATCAAAAAACAGACTGAATGGAGTCAAAGTTGCCCACACATTTTTTTTTCTTGGAAAATTCTATTTGTCTATTTTCCAGCATTCCACCCACTCTACACTCACATTTGAGAAGTGCTAAATAAATCACACATTTGAAAATGTCACGCTTGTCTAATTTTATGTCTGGCAATCTATACTCCTTTTTTTTGTATTTTAAGGAACATAAACAATATGCCACATTTCAAAAACTTGGCAAGTTTTATGTTATTGTTGTACAGCACATGGAACCTTCTATTATAACAATTTACCTATATAATATCACAATAAAACCATCTGATTTTCATTTCAATGCTATGTAAGGAGGCTGGACACAAATAATGACACTTGCTGCTTCGTAAAGATAATTAATGCCATAAGAAAAACCCTTAACTATAGCTTTTTCTCTGCCATGGAGGCATCAGAAGTGTAGGGAATGGTTGTACTGTGCATATGAGAATCAGAAAGTGTATCCCAGTACACTGCAGCACAAAACGTATACTGTGTAGTTATGACTAAGAGATCCTGGCAAAAATTAATTTAAGATAATTATCAAAAGCATTTTAACTCAGGAAGATGAGTTGATTTTAGAGGATCACATTTGACACATCTCTAAATGTGAACGGCATCTAATTGTATCAGATAAATTGGCTTTGCCTTAATCCTATTAGAGAGTATTATTTTTCCATGAATATCAAGCCCTTCCTAAGCATTGCTGCTACCTCTGTTCCTTTTTAAATGGCCTTTCACAGTCAAATTTAAGATAGTGTTTGAAATCAACCAACCAACCAATCAATCAATCAATTTCTGTCATTTATCTATAATCACCTGCACACTAGTCAAGTGTTCTTTCTTTACCTCTTTATTCCCACGCCTTAACATGTCTCTTCCTTACAGAGGAAGCACCACCACTCAGTCAACAAGCCAGACGACATGGGGGCATTTTCCTTCTTTTCCCTCCTCCTGGTCATCAGGACCCCGCATGTCCTGTTCCTTCTCCTGTCACACAGTACTCCATCTTTTATACTTCCTCATTTCCACCCTCTCCCATCCAGCTCACCACTGTTGTCTTTGTCATAGAAACCCTGAAATGATCTACTGTACTCACACTTCACACTCCCTTCTACCCCAGCCACTTTCCTAAGCCTAAGCAGAGACCAATCTTTTAAATGCACTCACATAATCTGCATGAACACTGTTTCCCTTTTCCCCTCAAACTTGACAGTCAAAACTTGTTTCACTCCAACACCATGCTGCAGCTGTCCTCTCTGCTGGACATGGTCACACCCTGCATGTTTGTGTGTTCACACCCTGCATGTTCATATGTTCACACCCTGCATGTTCATATGTTCACACCCTACGAGTTTGTACCTCCCGAATGTCTAACTCTTCTTCCTCACACTCATTTTCATGCTGCCTTCTTTGTGGTCCTTATTACAATTTAATATTTAACAAAGAATTGATAAGACTTCTTATGTTTATGGAAAAATTGAGTGGAAAGTACAGTGTTTCTATATATGTCTGTTTCATAACTATCTTGAGTTGGTATAGTACATTTATTATATTTATTTTTTTATTTTTTATGTTTTAATTTTTTTTGAGACAGGGTTTCTCTGTGTAGCTCTGAATGTCTTACAACTCTCTTTGTGGACCAGGCTATCCTCGAACTCACAGAGATCCACCTGCTTCTACCTTCCTGAGAGCTGGGATTAAGCCATGTACCACCATGCCTGGTTAAAACTTGTTTTATTTTTATTTATTTATTTTATTTTATTTACATTTGCTATAATGGATAAACTAGTATCGATATATTATTATTATTATTATTATTATTATTGACTCATTGCCATAGTGTAGATGCAGTCACACTTAGTGATGTACATTTTACACATTTGATGAATGTGTAATGCCATGCCATCATCAGAATGCAGAAGAATTTCATTGCCCTAAAATCTATATCCTCCATGTAACAACCCCTCCATTCACCATGTTTTGACAGCCAGGGATCCTTTCAATAGCTTTAAAGTTTTGTGATTCTCAGGATGTCATACAGATGAATTCATATAGTATGTTCACTATTTGATATTTTAAAAAAATCGTTGTCCGTATTTCTTTCCATCATTAAAGCTTCAAAAAACAATGACTTTATGGGCCTTATCCTCTCCTTTCCCACGGTAGATCCTCTCCATGAATATGTTGCCTATGGATATGTTGTTTAAATGAGTGGCTGTATCTGCAACAAACCTGACTGCAGTCATTCATACGTTAGGAGCATTCCTTTCTTGGTTTGTTCTAGTAACACCGGAACAGCCTGATTCAGGTTTGCGACACTTACACTGATGAAAGGAAGAGTTGGCCTTGGACCCACGAAGTTGAGGGTGTGGCCACCAGAGGCCCTTTAGTCCGATACCAGTGCATGGTTGTACCCAGTCACGTGGGATATCTGGACATTACCTGAGTTACAAGCACTGAATCTGTAACATATCTTACATGTCAACACAAACTCTGCTCTTTGTCTGCTCTTCCCTCAAAGCCTGCCTGTCACCTGGCTTCCCACTGTCTTCCGTTCACTCTTGTCTTTGTTCTGAATCTCATTCATCATGTGAAACACCTCTTCCTACTCCTATTTCCTTCCTCTTCTTCAATTTCCATTTTCTCACTATAGTGACAGGGATCGAACACACAGGCTGGCAAGCTCTAAGCAAGTGCTCTGCTGAGCTACAGTCCCCAGCTCCCTCATCCCTTTTAATCTGTGAATAACTCCAATGAGGACCGACAAGATGGAGAACAGAACCTGAGATTTCCTGCGATAAGGAAAGAGGAGTCACACATGTTGAAGTTTAGTTATCCATGAGAAGGAACTACACCCTTAAACTAGTAGTCAGAAATTTCTTCTGCAGTTTCTATAAAACTTTCAATCTTATTTATTAAAGTTTTTTCCTTAATATACACCATGTACGATATGAAATCTTTTTTAAACTTAATTCTTAAATTACTGTTTGGATTGTTGGGTCACAATTTTCTGAAGTTCAACTTCTGACCCAGAAGGACATATCTTTGAATCCATTACAGTGGGAGTTTTAGGATGTTCTTGCTATTTCCTGGATTTTGAGATCTTGGAAATGTGCCTGTCTTCACTCTATTTATGATCTTATTTGTGTCCCTCGAGTTCAGATCTGCTGAGCCTCTCTTCCTTTCTAGACTGAGTCTCAATCTTTTTGACATAAATCCATTTCCAGAAGCAAGAGCACAAATGAATAAAATCCAATGAAACGCTTGGCAACACTGTTGATTGTAGACAGAATCATTAGCATTATGTCTTTTTGGGGGAACGTGTAAAACAAAAGAGGAAGCAGTTCTTAAAATATGCAAAATAAAAAGAACATAACACATAGGAAACGATATTAAAACCATTTGTAAACTTCAAATACTATGCTACGTCACAAAATTTCAGAAGAATTAATAATAAAACAAACCCCAACCCATTCTATTTGAAAGATAATTATTAACTCATTCCATACCAAATTCAACACCAAAGCCTGGTCTAATCTAGTGGGTTGGGTTTATTTGGGGTGTTAATTTTTAAAATCAGGACTATGCTTTCTTGTTTATATATCATGACCTGTAGGACAATTGCAATGTATACTTTCATTCTTATGTACTATTCATCCTACCGGAAATGAGGTAGCAGTGAGTGGGTTACCTTCAAGGCTATAGTCACTTCCATTAATGCCTGATGTTTCTTAGAATACCTTCAAAGCCTTTTAAAATGAGGAAATAAACCCTTCCCTTGAGAAAAAGCTTTGCCCCAAAGACGTATTTCTTCAGTATTTTTTCTGTGCTCCATTAAGGTGACATAAGAGAAGAAATAAAGCCAGTCCAAAGTGTTCACATGAGACTTCAATGATGTTAAGGGCTACAGTGACCTCAGGAAATCACCTTCTAAGTCTTCACATGGAGTTGGTCTAGATCCTAAACACTCCAGTGCACTTCGCTACAGAGGTCAGCATCCACACTTCCACACACAGTCTTAGCAATCAATTGTCTGCTGCTACAGAACAGTTCCATGCTAACAAGATTATAGGCTGACTTCTGCCCCCCCCCCACCCCCACCCCGGTCTTTTTAAAAATTCATTCAAGTGGGAAAATATCTCCTATTACTAAGCAGTTGGATTCGCAAAGGATAAGATATACAAAGAAGCAAACTTACCATCAAACAGGTTACTATAATAACAAAGATGCTGAGAAAAATGATAACGGCGTAAAATCCTTCTTTGCTCCAGATTTTGTCCGCTTCGTGCTGCCCTTGCAAAACATTTTTCTTTAAAAAGGAAAACAGAAAGCCCGGTGTTAAAGGAGAGCTGGAGGAAACCGGCGTCCTTATCAGACTGTCAACATATTTTTAGCTTGATTCCATTCCGTGTAGTAAAACACACCTCTAGCCCCGGCTGCCACAGCTGCTTCTCTATCTGCCCAGGCACAGGACAGCTATCCTCTTTATCAGGAGATCCTGTAAGGGAGGGGGTGGGCATATGGGACAGGCTCCTGGGTTCTTGCCTTCCTCCACGTCCTGCGCTGCCTCTCTTGGAAACTACCTGGTTCACAGGTGAGCAAGCCCTGTGCTTTTCTGCGCCGAGGAACTGTTGCTGAAGCTCTCTGTACTCCGAGTCCCCTCCCACGTCCACACTGTCTTACAGCTCCGCGCTTTACTTTCAAACAAAAGTCAAACAGGTGCAAACAAAAAGCTCCTGATGGTTGAATACACAAGCCACGATGTGGGGACCATTTCTGTTTTTGTTTTCTTCTTCCTTTTATCCTATCATTTCCCTCCTCAAATGGAACTCACTTTGTCAAAACCTGACTCACGCACCATCCCACATAGAAATTGCCAGGATATTATGTCTTATTTAAAGGAACAGGGAACACCCACAAGGTCAGAATTATTTAGTAATAAATGGTAAACAAACAGGATTATTTCAATTTTTACTGCGTTCGCTCCTTGCTTTAGGAGTGGAGTGAGAGAAGTATAAAAGAGATGTGAATGTCTCTTGATTCTATGTTACTCATTTTTCAAAACAGGATAGTACATTGATGGATGCTCTGAACTTTTGTTTTCTGTTTTAGACAGAGTATCTCCTGTAGCCCACCCAGGTTGGCCTTGAACTCAAGCCAATCCTCCTGCCTCAACTCCCTAGATACTGGGATCACAGGCATGGACTACCATGCCTAAATATGAAAATGTTTTATAAATCAGTGATATTGTAGATTTATAGGTAAAGAAATGTCGGAAAAACTTAGGTGGTATCTGAGAAGAAGAAACATTAAGTTTGTATCAAGCAAAATGTTCCCATGTTACAATCCTTCAGGAGAGCATGTGTCTATCCTTGACTATTAACCCGTAAACAAAGAAAGCCTCAAATTAAACCTATATTCTAGGTGCCTAAATTTTGAGATCATTTCTGGCTACTTTAAAGGTTAAAAAAACATATTTAGCCTTTGCAAATGGGATTAAAAATACTGACCTTAAAAACTACTTTATGGAAATTTTAATCTCTGCATTCAATCAAGCCATAGTAGAATGATGAGCAAGAAAACTTTGAGTTCAGTTATGAAGATACAAATCATTTGGGAAGCGACTTATTCATGTACTCACAATACTACCTCTCACTTTTTCTAGACAGATGGATAGATAAAGGAAATGATTTAAGTATGTATTTTGATAGATAGATAAAGGAAATGATTTACGTATATATTTTGATTGATAGGTAAAGGAAATAATTTAGGTATATATTTTGATTGATAGGTAAAGGAAATAATTTAGGTATATATTTTGATTGACAGAGAACCTGTTAATACTTGATTCGGTGAGGTGATTGGTGACTCAGGACCCTGCTGCAAATACAGGGTCCTGGTGACAATTTTCTTTCACGTCTTTGAAAACAGCTAGGCCATTTTTTTTCCGCTCCAGTTTCACTATAAACACAGCTAGAAGCTAATAGAAAAGAAAACCATTGTAGGAATCGAGAATGGAATTGAAATTTTTTTTTTTCAGGCAACTAAATGGCATCCATTGTTTGCTATAAAAGCAAACTAGTTAAAGCCTTCGCACAGCCAGGACGCACTTGTCAAATTTAAGTACAAGGATTTGAGCTTAAAGTCTTGTAACATTTGAAAGAGGAGTGATTAGGAGGGTGAAAAGCAAGTGCTGTGTTCCAAATCTGCTCGGGTCCATTTTCCTCCCGTAGTTTTACAGTTCTCGGAGCGTGAACTTGCTCCTTTCTGCAGCAGACAGACCTGTTTTGATTTTTTTTTTTAAGTGAAACAATGATGATGGAAGATTGATTCTGTACTCTTCCAGGCCCCACCCCCAGCTTTAAAAAAAAAAGGCTCTTGTTTTGAACTCAATCACTGCACATTCTTGGTAAATAGATTTCCTTCTGAGTCATGCTGCCTCTGCTGAGCGCTGCTCTATCTGTTTGGAGATCTAAAGAGCTGAATAAGGCAATAAAGGATAAGTTTGCAGTCAAGAGCCCACACATCAAAAGACTGCAATCCCCAGTAATCTCCCATCTAGCCTTTGCATAGGGTTAACCCAGTGGCTTTTAGATTTTCTCAGGGGCTGTGGGTTCAATAATTCACAGACTCCCATGCCAGGTCACGTTAATGCTACTATAACATCTTTAAGACTTATTCCATAGCTGTGTTGCTCTGCCCTTTAACTCAGATGCAGTGAAATTAGCTGGTGCATTTTCTTATTCAAAAATGGAGACATTTCCTTTATCTATGATGATGGCCTTCCTAGCTGTTCTATACCTTGATGTCACATAGTTGGTTATGTTCTCCACTCCATCATCCCCCCCCACTTTCTTTTCACTCCTTAATTCTTTTCTTCTTCATTTCCATTTTATTTCCAATTCCTAATATCTGGGAAGGTGATCCAGATACTGAGGTTTCAGGAGGCACACCTTGTTGGGAGAGATGAAGCCCAAAGGATGAAATAGAAATGTTATAAATGGTCTGGTTCATCTGATGAGGGCAGATTAACGGGATGTACCTCACAACAGGATGGCTTGGTTGGATAAGTGGCAGACTTCAACTGCATGATGCATGATACAAGCACGTGATCCACATGATCTAGTATTTTAACACCGATGCTGCATGTCCTCAGCATTTGTGTGCCAGGTCTAGAACTCTTTACACTTGCCCACGGGCTAATGTTCCAGGTTTGAAGGAACAATCACCCCACTCACAAGTTATGGCTCATATTTTACGTGGTATGATTTTTCTCTTTGTTAACTATTCCATCCAGTATCAACAATTCATCAGCCTGTTATTTAAAGAAGGTAACTTCCTCCTATGAAATTCAGCAGTTAGGAAACTGGAGTAATTTGCAAATGGACAAAAATCAAAACCAAATTAATTTATTCAGTATTAATGTGGAATTTAACATTTCAATGATTAGCTAACAATTTTGAGAAAATTGTCAATAAAAACTAGAAGAGTGAATTTAATTTTATTTCTCTGGAACTTATGGGGCAAGAAGAAGGTTATTTTATTTTTTTTTATCTTTACAGGCATCTTATAATAAAATAATATGTGCTTGCAATGTTCTAGGTACCACATACAATATATATAAAAGAATGTGATGGCTCACATCCGCAGTCCCAGCACTGGGAAGCCTGAGGCAGGAGGATTATCAAGAGCTCTAGGTGATGGTAAGTTCCAGGACAGCTAGCTACAGAGCAATACCCTGTCTTAAAGACCCTTCACTCCAGAAAAAAAAGAAAAGAACTCTTTGCCTCAAGAAACTAAGGTTGGAAACAGATGATTAACAAAATTAATTCTCTATTTGGTATTTTTCTTTGGTTTCTGAGTCATTTTCAAAAAAAAAAATAAACCAGAAATATAAAGAAAGGGTAGCAAAAACACATTGTTCTTATGAAAATAATTAACAAATTTAGGAATAGATGCTTTGAAACATCATTGTGAAAAACTGCAAATGGATGTATTACAGTATTCTTTTCCTCCCCATTAATGGCTATTCTGCCATAGGAAGAGATATTTTGAGGATTACAAGATAAGACAGGTTGAGACATAAACTGTTGTCAAATCTTAACTGCAGGGAGAAGAATAAAGACATGGGGGGACTTAGAGAAGAGCCTGGTAGCTTTAGAGAACTGTCCATCATTCCTGCAGCGCCTCTCCTGCTGGACGGGAAACAAGCACTGTGTAGGGGCATGCTGCGGACACTGTCTTCCTTGGCTTTCTCCTTGTGACATTTAGAGTTTCAGGACTGGGCCTGCTACAGTTACTGAACAGAAGGTTCAAACAGGCCATCACACCATGATGAAAGGCCCCTTCCAGCCAATTCAAGCACTTGATGAGCTTTATCCTGAGTAGTTCACAGGTTATACAGTTTTTAGTTGTTGTTGTTGTTGTTTACATTCCAATAAATTTATGAGAAAGTATCATATTTTGATCACTAAATACACTTGTTATTTAAGTTCAGGGCAGACTTTGTCAACTGCTATGGCCCAATAGTTTTCCGATGGGTGGTCCATGGAGGCTACTCCTTCACTGTAGTTACATGTTGGGAGAGTGACCTTCACATTCTTGCTGTGATCTTTACATTTCGGAGCCATCAGCTTGTTTCTTTTTTGCTATCTAGGAGCATAACTTAACTAATATAAGAATCAAGCTCCTTATTTCTTGGCGTGTTTATTTTCCTAACTTTGGGTAGGACTTAGCACAGCGTTTGGCTACGCGCTGACTCCGCTTTTCATATTCTGTCCATCACACTGCTGAATGAAATAAAGACAGTGACAAAATGACACGGCATGTCCCATCAAGGAACCCACAGTGCAGAGAAAGCCTTGAAGGTCCACAGAGCAGAAGGGCTTTTGCTCTAAGTTCCATGGGGATGTGATGCAGCAGACACCAGAGTTCTTGAAGGAACAGTGGAAGGCTGTGCCGTTAAACAGGCTGGTGAAGCAGGAAGGTGTGTAGATGGCCCGATTACAAGCATGGAGGGATGGGATTGGGGGTCATGATAGCTAAGAAATTTAGAATTGCTTTAACATAGTCTAAGGAGCCACCGAGCGGTTACACAGCCCAGCATGTGGAGGACCATATACCATACTAGGAAATCTGGACTATTCAAAACATCCTATTGTGTTTTGAAACCAAAGGATCATGAAATTAGGAGAGCAAGCCAGGTTTACATGAAAGAAGATTACTCTGGTGGCAAGAAATAAAATAAAATAAAAGAAGCAAGTTTTATGCAGGAGGGAGAAGGGCAGGGTAGGGAATAAAACCAAAAGCAGTGGGAAGAACTGTGTGAGTAAAAGGATGAATGTGTTGGTTCAGTAGGTTTGGCCTCCTATCTATGACTTCTGCATCCGCAAATTTAGCCAACTGTGAAAGAAAATATCAGTGAAGAAAATTCATCTTTAGTTCACCTGGACACTTTCTTGCCACTATTCCCCAATCTATCATTTAAGCAACCCTATAAATTTAAAACTACATTATATTATGTATTATAAGGGATTTAGGGATGATTTGATACATATGGGAGCATGTTCATAGGGTATATGCAGATATAACTTTACACAGGAAATTCGAGCATCTGAAGATTTTGATATACATTGGTGTCCTGTTCCAATCTACTGAGTATACCAAAAGACTGCGTATTCCCAAATTTATGTCACCTGTATTTAAATTACATTTGTTTAGTACAAACTAAATCTGAGGATTTTCACACATATTTAAAAAATTCAATCCATATGTCAAGTCCATTAGTTAAGGACTGTATCCATTAGAATATGAAGAAACTGAGGCTCCGGGTGGTTGATACTATGCAAAGGCAAAACTCCTCACAGAGCAAAATTCTCTGACCAAGATTCAAACGATTGAGTACTAAAGTTTTTAATATAAAACCTATAGTATTAGCTGAAATGAAAGGCAATGGGGGTTGCTGGAAAGAGGAATAAAATAAGCGTAGAAGAAGGATTTATTTTGTTTTGTTTGGAAACAGTGTTTCACTCTGTAGCTCAGGCTGGCCAGGAACTCTCTGTGTAGGCCAATCTGACTTTGAACTCAGTATTCTCCTGCTTCTGCCTCCTGGAGTGCTGGTATCTGGCATCTCAGGGGTGTACGATCATGCCTTGTCTAGATATTTATTTTACCTTTCTCTGTCTCCATGTCTCTCCTTCCTCCCTCACTTCCTGTCTCCCTCCCTCTCTCTTCTTTCCCTCTTCTTTCTCTTCCTGTACTAGGTTTTGAACCCAAGACCTAAAACAGGCAAGTGCTGGTTTATACTTCACTCTTGAATCACTTTTAGGTAGTTGCTTAATTTCTATGTACCCCACTTTCTGTGTGTATATGTTTTCCCTCAAAGCCAAATTCTATGGATTTGTGAATGGAATTTGCATCTATTTAGGATGCTGGTCTTTCTGAAGAATTTGATTTTGATAGGAGAGACAGAGGGACGATTCACTCTGTAGGGAAAATGGAAGAAATGGTAAAGAAACCTTTTTTAAGTGTCAAATTTCGAAAATACCATGAAGAAAATATGCAGAGTTCTTGCACGTAGGAAAAAAGCACATTTCACACAATTCCAAATCATGGGGAGTGCAGCGGGGATGAGTATTTTTTGACTATTTTGACAATGAAAGTGATGATGAAAGGTTCACTTGTTGAGGAAGACCTGAGTAGAGTTTTTGGTTTCTTTTGTTGTTGTTGTTTTTTGTTTTGGCAAATCAGTTTCAGGTGAGCACCAGGCAGACCTACCTAACTGGTCTTTCTTGTAGACAGTTTACTGAAAAGTAAAATAAATAATTACAAGGTCACAACGATTTTCAGAATCCGGTGTCAAATAATGAAACTTTACCGTGAAAAGCGAATTTGCACGCTGGATTCCGACCTTTAGGGAGATTGCTGTTTTAAAATCCACATACAACTAAGAGCTTTCATCTCAAAGCCTCACAGGTTGGATTGGCAAATCATGCTAACTGCAGACTTTTTTTTTTTTTTTTTTTAAATGAACTGCTCCATGCAACGCCATACCTCAGGGGAGACGTCTGTAATTCCAAACTGCGGTAAACTCTGATGCAAAACATCGACATTAAGAGAACGCAGCACTTCCTCGGCCTGCAGGGCTTCCGGCTCTCCTGGTTTCCGGTTTACAGGAGACACGAACAACTCCACATGGCGCTTCTTTTCCTGGTGAAAGCACACCGTTCGGGTATGTTAAAGATAATATTGGCAAACGTTGGGCGAAGGGTTCACCTGTTCTTTACAAACATTGAAGTCAGGTAGGGAATGATGTGAATTGATCAGTCACTCCCGGAATTACTGTCACCAATCCGAAGTACAAAATTTTCAAAATGGCCTTACTTTAGTTAGCACACCAGGATGTGAAATTTTATATTTCACTAGATAATAGTTTACCCTTGGTTTCATATTCTAATTAATTAATTAATTAATTATTTTTTTGCTCTTGTTAATTTCAGAGGCTATCCAGATGTAACATAGGCTAAGATTGATTTTTGCATCCTCCTACCTCAGCCTTCTAAATGCTAAAATTATAGGTGTGTACTAACTTAACATATAGTTCTCAGATGCCTTCTGAATACTTACGCTTCAAGACATATTTTAAAGTCAAATGAGTCAGATAAAACCCAATGTAAGTGTCAACCATCAGGCTCCACCATGCTTCATCTTTCCTCATCAAATGCATGAATATGAGGCTGGACTGGCCAAGGAAGAGGTGCCAGATGAGCTTTGAAGGTCCTTTCCTCATTCTTTTGACCTTAACATTGACAAACTTTTAAACTTTACCCTTGCTTGATAGTAATGCATTTAATAAATCTAGATCCAGAGGCAAGACATCTATAACACCTATTCACCTGAGCTAGATGCCCTGGACATAATAAATGACTTCATTTTTTTTTAATTGAGATGAGGTCTCTCTAGGTATCTAAGGCTAGCTTGGAACTCCTTTATGTATCCCAGTCTGTTATCAAACTCAAAATCCTCCTGCCTCTACCTTGCAACTACCAGAATTATAAGTATATTTTTATTGATTATTTGGGAATTTCATGCAATGCACTCCAGTCACACCTTCCTACCCTTGTGCCCTCCTCTCAAAAAGAGAAAAAGAAAAAAAGAAACCAAGTTCAATTTGTGTGGTCCATATACTCACTGGAACATGGTCAAACTCCCAAAGGGCCAGCCTCTTAAATATAACTGAGTCGTCCCCCCAGCCCCTGCCACTCCAGAATTCAACAGTGAAGAGCTACACTTCAGCACCCTAATTTTAAAGGATTCTCTTCAATGGCTTCCTGTTTAGACTATTTCTTATTTTGGGGTGGGAGTTGTCACAGAGGCCTTCAATGTCTTTTATTCTCTTGCAATTGGCAACATTTACTCTTTTATTCGGGGGGTTGTTTTTTATTTTTATTTTTTTTGAGACAGGGTTTCTCTGTGTAGCTTTGGATCCTGTCCTGGAACTCGCTCTGTAGACCAGGCTGATCTCGAACTCGCAGAGATCTGCCTGCCTCTGCCTCCTGAGTGCTGGGATAAAAGGCGTGTGCCACCACCATCTGGCAACATTTACTCATAAAGGCTATTTAAAAATGTTGTATTTTCTATTCTGCACTAAAACTTTTTTTTTTCCAACCAAGACTGACAACTTTTATTTTTTTTTACCAAGCTAAGGGTTTTAAGAACGGGGTCAAGTATACAATCTGAAAGAAGATCCTTTGTTAAGAAAAAGAATTTAAAATTTTGTGAGTCATAAATGAAGATAGGGACCCTTTCCATGCATTTAAAATTCATGCAAGCTGACCCTGATTGAGGCCTCAGTCTACTGAGGGAAATTATCATTCAAAGAAGTGGCCTTGACTTGTTTGAAATCAGGCTCACGAGCTTTTGTTACTTTATCCAACCAGGTCTAGTGGTTATTACATACAAAGAATTCCTTGTTACTTGCTTGGTATACCAGAGATCTTAAGCTGCATGAGTTGACTGAGACCCAATGATTATCATTGCAATGTATCCAAATAATTGCCTCAATTACAGTTTGAAAATAATAATAATGGCAGCAAACTTAAAAAAGTAAGGAGCAATGGTTTCTAAAGAGAGGTCATTGAAAATGCTAATGTGATTGAATTGGATCTTAAATGGTCAACCCATGAAAGGCATGTCGAGAGCCGTGTTTACTAGTGTCCAGTAACTAATAAGTATAAAAGAACATCATGGAATCATAATATGCCATGTGTTCAAAAAGTTCATGAGAAGCTTATTACCAAAAGTGCAGAAGTGGCTATGTTGTGACCTAAGGGCACATGTGTCATCTTAAGACGCAAAGAGGAATTGTGTTTGCGAAAGGAAATTGGAAAGAATTTAGGGAAGGTTGGGAAGCCATTGAAAGCAAATGTGAGTCTGACATCATATGAAGGAAATCAAAGGTCGTGTGGAAATATGCCATTGTTGAAAAGTTGTTTGAGAGTCCTTAAGCTGGTGTTCAGTGTTTCCCAAGCAAAGTTCTTACTGTGCCCACCATATTAAGACATCAGTGAAGAACACTCTGTAGGAAGCCCGTTTTTGCTGTAATACAATGATGGGTTTCAATGCATAGCAGCAAAGGTCCTCAGTCACTTCCCAGAAGTAAAAGGCCCATGCATTTTCATGGTCATCTCAGTAGCCGTTAGTAACATCAATCAAATCATTTTGTGTAATCAGGTAGAGTAATAGGCAAGTGTCGTTGAAGCTGAGCTCCTTACAAGCACCCCTTGGTCTGTAAAGTTGCTTGGATATCTCTGCCGCTGCACTAAAACTTTTAAAACACTTATTCAGACTCAGAAAATTGCTGACTCGGAATAAATGTTTTCTTTCTTTCTTTCTTCCTTCCTTCCTTCCTTTCTTTCTTTCTTTCTTTCTTTTTTGTGGGAACTAAAACAACTCCTTTTACCCACAGAAAAATAAAAAGAAATATAAATCTACCCTTAAAGCAAATACTGTCCGTACCTGAGAATATGGATGTTGATACTCAGAGTAGAAAGCTGAATTTGAACAAGGTATACAATTTAATGCAATAAAATCATTTATTTAGTCCTTGTTTGGGTTCCCAATACAATAGGAATGAAGAAAGATTTTTAAAGCAATATGAAAAATCCTGAAGTCTCTTAGGTACACACACACACACACATATATATATATATGTGTGTGTGTGTGTGTGTGTGTGTGTGTGTGTGTGTGTGTGTGTGTACATGTGCATGCATGTGTGTGCTCATGTGTATATGTGTGTAGGAGCCATGGAGGTCAGAAGACCACACTGAATCCTCTAGAACTGGAGTTCCAGATAGTTGTGAGTTGCCATGTGGGTGCTGGGAACCAAACCCGGGTCTTCTACAAGGGCAGTAAATGCTCTTAACTCGAAAGCCATCTCTATAGCTGCCCTCCAAAGTCTCTGTCATATGAACCTTAGACAGCTAGCTTTTTGCAAAGAAAAACAGAAATTGTCTGATTTAAAATTGCCTGTTTTATCCACATGGCTTATACCAATCTTCAAATGCAAAGGAGAACTTGCAATTCATGACATCCAGGTTTCCAGACTCAGAGATGCTGTGGGATGTTTTGTATGTTGTGAATGTGTTGCTCTGGTTGGTTGATAAATAAAATGCTAATTGGCCAGTAGCCAGGCAGCAAGTATAGGTGGGACAAGCCGAGAAGAGAATTGTGAGAAGTGGAAGGCTGAGTCAGGAGACGCCAGCCCGCCATCCAGGGAGCAGCATGTAATGGCACACAGGTAAAGCCACAGAACACGTGGCAACATATAGATTAACAGAAATGGGCTGAGTTTAAATGTAAGAACTAGTCAGTGGTAGGCCTGAGCTAATGGCTGAACAGTTTTAACTAATATAAGCTTCTGAGTGATTATTTTATAAGCAGCTGTGGACTGCAGGGCTAGGCGGGACCTGAGGAAAACTTTTAGCTACACAGAGAAAATGGGGCGCAGAATGAAAGTGGGTGACTGACAGGTCTAGTCACCCCTACACAGTGGATCCCTTGACCCCTGAGGTTTTCCCCACCCCCACCTCGGATGCCAATCTAAGTTTTTTCTTGGCATTCCATGTGAGCTACCGAGGCAAGGATCGGCTCTGTTTTATTCAGACATCATCCTTTGCTTTCTGCATTCAGCCCCCACTCCATTGGTAAGCTCGAAGGGGCTTTAGTAAACAGCATCTGGAATCCTGATACAGAAGGTTCCACTCTCCTAGACAATATTTGGGAGCTGTGTCAGGTTGCTGGACCTATCAGGGGAGGTACTAGTGAACGATGATAAGGTTGATAGACTATTTTCTGAAAAGGGCCAGACGGTCAATTGTTTAGGCTTTATGGGTCAATCTGTTTGCTCTAACAATTTAGGTCTGCCACTGTGAGCGTGAAAACAGCCACACATAGCATGTGAGCCAGTGGGTGTGGCAGGCTTCAGTAAAACCTTATCTCCAAAAATAGACAGTACGGTAGATTTGGCTCCCCAATCATGGAGCCTTTAACGACGAAAAATCAGTTTGAATTCCGAGACTGTGAAAGGTAGCTTCTTACAATGAGACGGTTGATGTGCACTTGCTGGGGCAAGAGTCCCAAGGCTGCAGCTACTCCTTGGCGGAAGATCCGAAGCAAGGTTATGTTCAGCTTGTTTATATCCATTTGCAGTGTCTGGAAAATGAAGACAGAAAAAAAAATACAAACTCAAGTGAATATTGCATTTTGGACAGCCGGTTTGTCCCTGATAACTGGCTACAACAGTTTGGGGGCTCTTGTAAGTTCACGTTCTGGGGGTTAATTTCGACACAAATAAAATCATAGACACACTTTATGTGACATTTTAAATGGCATTAGTTAAAAGATGGCTCATTATGTAATAAAGCAATTTGTTTAGTTTTTTTAAAAACGCAAGTAAAAACGGTCATTTTTTTTTTTTAAAAAGCATTCCATTGCAATATGGCTTAATCTACATTGCTCTCCTTTTCGATGACAGAATGATGTCTGTGGTCAAGCCTATTTCAGTTATCTAAGTGGAAGGACGTATTTAATTCATGTCCACATGCAGTCACGGAGAAGGATGCTGTGTAAATTCCGTAAGGCTTGAGCTGGCAGTTTCTCTCTAGAGTGCTCCGCTGCCAGGGCCAGGCAAACAGATGAGGCGCAGTCTGTATTTACTCTGGTGGAGAAGCAAGTGGTACTCGTGATTGGATCTAAGGTAGAACATGCTCATTCATCTCTTAGGAAGACACTCCTAACAAATCTAAACAGTAAAATGTTCCAGAATTACAAATCACATTGTGATAGTGGTAATACAGCCTAAGCCAGAAGTGCTATTGATACACTTAAACCAGGGAGGAATTTACTGTGTGTTCCAAACTGGATCATGAGGTTGGAGAGTTGGCCCATCAGACAAAAGCACTTCAGGCTTTTCCAGAGGACCTGACTTCAGTTCCCAGCATCCATATCAGCAGTTCACAACAACCTATAACTCCAGCTCCAGGGGATCCCACACTCCTTTCTGGCTTTCCTAGGCACTACACCAAAGTGGCATGCACATGCACGTACACACACATACACACACACACACACACACACACACACACACACACACACACACACACACACACACAAACACACATACACAGGGTCGGGGTGGGGGAGAGAAAGAGGTCTTAAAAACCTGCCTCATAGTGATTTAAGATACATATTTCTAAGAAAGGGAAACTGAGTCTTACGCATTCCGTGCATGCTATTATTGTTGAGTTCACTGCTTTGGTCAGAGTAGGTTATGTATAACTAACTGTTGGATGGTTTTTCTCATTTGTCTGTTGAAGAGATTGATTTGCATCTCAAATCTACTCCACTGTAAGGACTCTTAAAGCTGGGACTCTCTTAGCTTACTTTAAAAAGAGAAGGATGGGCCAGGTGGTGGTGGCGCACGCCTTTAATCCCAGCACTCGGGAGGCAGAGGCAGGCGGATCTTTGTGAGTTCGAGGCCAGCCTGGGCTACCAAGTGAGTTCCAGGAAAGGCGCAAAGCTACACAGAGAAACCCTGTCTCGAAAAACCAAAAAAAAAAAAAAAAAAAAAAAAAAAGAGAAGGATGGAATGATATTGCTTTGAGAATTTGTAGACCTGCTAGGAAATAATAGAGCACCTATATACAAACTTTGTGGAAGGTAAGTGATTGGAAACGGCCAAATGCCCAATGGGACAGGAACGGGGGCATTAACAGTTTGGGAATATAAAACAGGTGTAATGGTTCCCAGTCAAAGTGGTAGGATCACCTACTTTTTAGCCTGCATTTCTATCTCAGGGTATTTCAATGCCTGCACAGGGGTGGGGGCCCTCTGTCTTGTTACGGAGACGAGCTAACTGAGGTTCAAAGCAGGGTAGAGGCATTGCAAGACTCTGCCTGTCAACAGGCATCCACTTGTTATTGGGAAGGCAAAAGGAGAATTTCTTCAGAAATGGGTTGAAAAGCTGTATTGACACCATCAGCAACACTTTCAAAGTATTCATTCTTTGACATTCATGTTACCTATTGTAAAACAACAGAAATAGGTTGTGGAGATAAAAGTGTAGATCTGTTCCCTCAATTGTCTCCAGAGGAGAATCTTCCATATGTCTTCTAGTTTCCATTGTTTGGGGGCAATTCTGGGGGAGAATCTTCCATAGGTCTTTTAGTTTCTTTTGTTTGGGGTAATGTTTGATATTGCGTACCCTGCAGCTCTAGTCTTTGCCTATAGCATCACATGGTTGTCTTCTCCGTCTCTCTCCTCTAAGAGTAGCAGTGTCTCAATTTTCCTCTTTTATAAGGGCTGGTCATATTGAATCAGAAACCTTCCCTACTCTAGGATGACTTTAATGAATTATACTTACAATGACCCTACTTCTAAATAAACTCATATTCTTGGTATTGGGGAGTTAGAACTCCAACACAAGAATCTTGAGGGGACAAAATTAGACTACAAGTAAGGATGAAGTCAGAATTCTTAGAAAAGAAATTGCTAGGTTTTAGCCAGGGAATTAACGAAGAACCTCAATACTTTTGCATGTGTCTCTTGCTTCAAGTTAATACAAACTGTAGGTGCAGCCAAGTCCTGGGTGTTCACCCCTGAGGAGAGCTGTTTGGGTGGTCAGACATGGTTATTGGTAGAATACTTTTATTTAAAGGTGGTGTGCAATCTTGAGCTCATTTTAGGTAAAGGTAATGCCAATGCCTGGGTAAGCTGAAAAAAGAGACTGGAGAATACAGACACAGTTGAAAAGGACTTTTCCCCTGGGGATTCACTCCCTGACTTGTCACAATAGTTTCTGCTGGACTTGGGGTTTATGTTTTCTGTCTTAATAGGATGTGGCCCTCTCCTTTCAGAAAGTAATTCTTTACGGCATAAAAATCACCTAATGGAAGCTGGCTCAACAGTTAAAGGCACGTACTGCTTTTGCAAAGGACCCCAGTTCCCAGCATCCAAGTCGGGCACTTTACAATCTCCTGTGACTCTAGCTTCAGGGGATTGGATGCCCTCTTCTGGCCTCGGTGTGCACTTCACTCATGTCCAGATACTCTGACACAGACACACACATATGCACATAAATAATAAAATATTAAAAACTCATCTAATGATGTATGTGTTTGTCTGTCATTTGTTGTGTTTTTAATTGCTTATTTCTCATATGCCAAGAACAATTTAATATAGAAAATAAAACTTGAGCTAAGCCTTCAAGGACCAGTGGATTTAGATACCAGGGATGGTTTTCAGTTTATAGTTAGTCTATAGTTTTAAGCATAATTCCTTTATCTACCTGCTAGAACTCAGTCTACATGATAGCTGTCTACAACAGAGACTCCCTTTGCTCCCAAACCCTGACATCTACACTACCAGCATATGGAAGCTATTGCTAAATCTCAGAGACTATATCATAGCTGTCTACTTCTTTCCTCTGCATGACTAAAGGTAGAAACCTCAGTTAGCATTCCTGAAACACTGGTGAGGAGCCACTGAGTTCTGGCTTGCCCACAGTGTTTGTCAGGCAGACTGAGTAGGCAGGCAATGTCTCTGGTCCCCAAGGGCAGGATTTGGAGCTGCAATCAACCCTGGGAACTGAGAGACAAGGGGGTTGTGTAAACCCTTGAGAACTCAATTCCCAGGGCCATGATTAACAGAGGCTTGTAACTGTGGAAACAGTATTAAGGTCTCAAATGGGAAGTGAAATAGGAACTCAAGATTAAAATCACTCAACAAAACAACTTTGTAAGATGGTAAAAGCTGTGCTTTTGAACCAGAAATTTGAATGACCCGACTAAATGCCCAGAGGTAATCAGCTGAAATTGGAATCCTCTGGCTCACTGCAGCAAACATTTGAATAATTTGCCTCTGATTTCTGCTTGTCTGGAAGACAGAGCATGCACACACAGACTTCTGACTATTACTCCATAAAATGTTATGCTAAAATATAGATTAAATAGATAGATGTATATTTGGGGTCCTAATACATGCCAGACAGAATGTGAGTGCAAATCTGGCAAAAAGGAGGGATTCTTAGCCAAATGCCAGTTTTATTTCAAACAGAACAGGAGTGGGACTTCCTGGAGTTAGTGGACATATGCCACCCATGTCTTTGTGAATAGGTGCTGGAAACATATAGTTCCGTCCATACTGTTGCATGCAGGCTCAACTGAGATAAAACAGAAATTTCTAAGGCAACAATAAGGTTATAGCTTAGTTTTAAAGTTACCATAAAAGAGCTTAAGGTGTATTTTAGCAAGAATTTTGAGCCCACTTCATCATTTCTATGATTAAAGTTTTTCATCTCAAGGAGTAATGGAAATTCTAAATGAGCATGTTAAGACAGTCTATAGCAGCCAGTCATTCAAACAGTTACTATGTGCATGAGTTTGGATCTGAAATGTCCCCCAAAGGCTACCTGCTAACGACTTAATGACTTGGTCCTGAACCTTAAGAAGTGGAGCCTAGTGGGAGGAAGTTAGATCAAGCTGGGGTGCCCTTGGCGGAAGTACCCAAGCTCTAGCACCTTCTCTTTCTTTGCTTACTGTCTCCATGTTTTAAGTAATTCATTCTGTTACATGCCTCTTCTACATTATACCACCTTTACAAAGACCCCAAAGCAACAGGCCAACTGACTGTGGACTGAAACTTGCAAAAGTTGATTATCTTGTGGAAGTTGATTATCTTTAGTATGTGTTATATTAACACAAAGTAACACTACAGAAGGAAAAATTGGGTACCAAATCCCTAAAATCCCTGAGAGAAATGCTGTCTCCCAATAGCCACAAAGAAGTCTACTAGGATACGCAACCCCTTCTTAGACCTAATGTGTCTCTATTCCTGACTCCATTCTCAGTCACTGGACCTCTGTCTTTAGTTAGGATTTGTATTGGCAGGTGATTTCCAAAACAGTTTTCCTGTTGTGTCTTTGAACTGAGCAGAAAACATCCATTCATTTGAAGCTTTTTGTGGTTGACACTCAATCCTATGTCATCACTCTGTGTTTGTCATTTGCTACTGTTTACACACTCATGTTATAGCCACAGAAGAGGGCTATAGTTGACCAGTGCTGCTTGTAACTGATGAGTGCATCTTTCTAAGAAGATAGAGTCACAGGAGAATATCCTCATCATACCCTTCTGTCATGTTTCCATCATACATCA